CTCTACTCTACTCTACTCTACTACTACTACCACCCTCTACTACTACTACTACTACTACTACTACTACTACTGCTACTACTACTACTACTCTGCGACTACGACTACTTCGATTGCTCCAACTGTTGCTCGATTCATCCATTGACCCAAGTTGAACCTGCCTTCGGCTTCGGGGCTGTTAGCAAATCAGCTGCAAGCCCTTTAGAGTCGAAGGAGCTCGTGGCGAAAGGCATGGCCCCCAGCCAGCAACAGGGCCAAAAAGAGTGCAGCCATGACGGCCTATTACCTGGGATGTGCGGCAGATGCTCGACAGCCCGAGTCTGAAACGAAAGGACAGAAGTAGCGGCGCATTGGTTGCTCTAACCAGACTAAAAGAAAGATGCGCATCGTGCCCAATGCATTCTAACCTACATGCAACGAAACCCTGGGCCTGATAAGCAATGCCGTGCTGCAAGTGCGCTTGGATTCGTCAGACCTCCGTCGATGATTTGGGTCGTTGCTTTGATTTCTGAGCAGCCTTCCAACATGGGCGGCCGCTGGTAGCAGACGACAAACCGCAACAGCAGGAACTATATACTGCCATGGTGGAAACGAAATAACTGATGCTTCATGCACCCCGTGCTAGGAAGCGTAGGCTGTCGTACAGGTGGGAGTAAATCGGCACTTTCCCCAGAGAAACTTGTGCAACAACTTTGGCAGGTCCAGTCTGCAGTCTGCAGTCGTAATCGCAGACCGGGCTTAAGTTCAAGATTGGGAGTATGTTTCCAATATCTTCTACTCCCTGGCCCTAACACGTCCCAACACCGTCCCTCCAGACGACTTTCGGCCAAGACTCAAAGCCAAACCTAAACCCTCCCCGCCTATGGAGGCTGCCGCAAGTATCGCAAGCCCCAGAGCCGAAAGCTTGCGAGTAAGAGTCTGAGTTGTCATGCTGCCGCCTGCATAATCATTATTACTGTGAGATCGAGCACTCTAGGTACTAGGGTCGTTTCTAGGGTTTGGTAATACTGCCGTTCTTCGTAGCAGAATACAACGCTCCGAAAACAAGATTACAAGAGTATACCCAGGACAAGAAAACAAACTAGTGTGCGGAGCAGCAGCTGCTCATTTCACATCTTTACAAGATCTCCTGCTGCGCTCCCTTTTCGAGCCACTCAACACTTGAACTATGATCTCAGACTGGCAGTAAGGATAGAAGAGGATTCGTCCAGAAGCCCGAGTCATACTTCTCCTGGCATCGGCAGGCGAGATAGACCACAGTCGACAGCCCAGCTGCATGATTCAGATTGACGCTGTGCACGAGCAGACTTATGCAGGGCCCGTCCCCAACCGTGATCCGGGACCCACAGATTACATGGCAACTCCTGGTGATCAGAACGAACCATTCTGGAAATTTTGGTCACAGCAAATCGGAGGAAGCTACACCAACTGCCAGCTTCAATCTGCAGCCGCAGATGTCCTGCGGTCAGCGATCACTTGCACACTCGCTGGCGGAAGTGCTCTTTGACCTTCTGGCCGTGTCGAAGCACCCGGCATTTGCCTCACGTCCGCTAAGATGAAGCGATCACAAAGCAACATGCCAAGATCCCCGAAGCGGCGGAGTCCCAAAATCCAATCCCGATGTCATTTGCGACTACCATCAGAGCGAGTACGACAGACCAATTCATCAACATCATCAAACTTACTTAAACTTTAATGCGAGTAGCACAAGTAGTGCGCAGGGGTTCGGTCACATCAGTCCAGCTACTCCTGCAAATCTGTTGCACTCGTACCAGGATCATCTACGTCGTCTGAGGTATCATCAGCCGTATGAGCCATACAATTTTCACTGTTTCTGCTTATATCATCATCTCCACCACACGATTTGCTCACTACTTCTCGGTCGCAGCGGCAGCAGGGGTTGCAGCCCACGCAGAAGCCACAACGCATTTGGATCTTGGCCTGGACATTCAGCAAAAATTCCAAAGGCGTGACCGGTGAGTCTCGGGTATTGACATCGCAGGCTTCAAGTTTTGGTCTGGAGGTGTTGGGCTTGAAGTTTCAGGTTGTTCGACGAGTGCAGTACCCAGTATGCGATCTGAATGCAGCACTTCTCGAACTCAGACGTGCAAGTAACTAAGATTCAGCCGCAATTCTGCAGTGGTGTTTGGCGGACAACTACGCAAGAAGCGCAAAAGGTCATTGTCAAGGTCAGCTGTTCACGGTGTAGTCTGTCAAAATGTCTCAAAGATAAGTTTCTCACAGTTCGGAAAGGGCCAGCAAGCTCTCTGAGGCACGCTCCTACTTCGAGGAATCTGGGTCTGGGGCGTGGGGCCTTTTCAACTCGCCCAAGGCAGGCAAAGCTTAACGTCCGCTTCAAGAGCTACCTATACTAGAGACGACAGGCTGTTGGAGTTGGAGCATCTTCGAAGAACCGGACAGCTTGGGGCCCTCCGGGTGTACCTTTCGAAACAAAGCAGCCAGTCTCTTGCCGAATGCGCAGCAGTCCTTACACAGCCTAACAGGCTGCCTGACCCAAACAAAGCACTTAGAAATGCTTCGAAAGTACTTCAGAATCCAAGAAGCCTGTTAATCAACAGTTACATCCAATATGTAGGAAGCTTAGTTCTATTCATAAATCCAAGAGTAGCTAGAGGTTTCTTAATCAGGTTCCTACATTTCCGAAGTCTCTTGCTGGTGCGGCCTCGGTCACGTCGTCCAGACACATTTCACGCTCGAAGGGCTGATCCCCAACGTCGTAGTCCTGGACAGGCGCAGGGTTTGAAGTTTGGGAGCTTCAGCAGGTTGAGGCTGCAAAGTTCAGGGCTGCGATCAGTCGCGCTAACATGCGTTACATGTCCGCGTGTCCCGTACTGTGATGCTAAGATTGCTTTTTGACGCTCATCACGACATGAAATGCTATCTGCGTGCTTGTATGAATCACACCGCAGCGCTGTCTCAGCAAGGGCATTTTCCCAAGACTGCATGCCATGTGTAAGTGGTGGGATACATCGTTGCAAAGGACAACTCTTCGTTTAAGCCAAGTCTCGAGCTTGTCGAACAGGCATTTCGCGACAGGCATGGTCGCCTCAGCTGCTGCTTCGTGCTGCACTTCGAGGTGAAGCCGCTCCACTCGAGCAGTTTAACCGTGGAGCAGAAGCTCGCCTGGACTCCCTGCTGTCTGACACCACCATTTATGCAGAGAGAGAGATACGTATATACATACATCCATATACATAGATACATACATGTGCTTATGCAGGTGCACACCCAAACGCGCGCACACACACAGCCCGTACGTGTGTGCGTGCGTGTGTGTGTCTGTGTGAATATATCTGTACAAATTAGTATAATTTCATT